CCCCAAAACCCCAAAACCCCAAAACCCCATGAAAATGAGGATATTCAATTTTAAACGAATTCTCTTTTTATTATTATTAAAAAATAAGGAGGACTATACTCTAAAAACAACAATAGATACAATGGATGCTTATATTAAATGCGGAGGATGTAGTCATTTTTATAACCTATCTTAGAGAAGACCTATGATTTTATCTTGTGGAGACACAGTTTGCAATCAATGCATACAATTTCAAATATCGACTTAGGGTTCTTTGAAAAAATGTCCAGTAGATGATACTTGCTAGTCGGTGGAGGGTTCTCAAATAATTCCAGTAAAATAATTGATGAATAATCTTGACAAACTGAATACTATCAACATTAATTGTGATACTCATTCTGAAAAAATGGTTAAAAGGTATTGCTAAACAACACACAAATTGTTGTGTAGCACCTGCTAAACTAACTGCCTTTGTCTTGATCATAAAAGTGCAGACCACCAGCATTTTAAGAGAAAAGATTTGGAAAAGTTAATCCAACAAAAAATTCCAAAACTATAAAATCTAATTGAAAGAATTGAAGTCATTATTCATAGACTCTAATAATATCTGAACAAAGATATGATGTTTAAGGCTAGTGAATTCCTTGGCCTGATTGATCAAATTAATTAATTACTGGATCCAGATTAGTTATAAGAAGATCTGGGTTTATTCAATATTAATTAGAAATCACATGAATCAAAAATTGAAAATCTTTAAAATATACAAATTCTTAAGATGCAAAATGAACAAAGTATCAAGTATTCGTATGAAGATATACTATAACTAATTGAAAAAGATATGCCACAACATTTCAGGGGATTAGTTGACATTCATTTACAATCTTTAAAAAATTCAGATATCAAAGGCTTTAATAAACTTCTACCTCTAAATGGCTAAACCAGACTCATTTATAAAGCTACAATAGATGGATTTTAAGCCACTAATTTTCATTAAAAATGCGATAGTCAAGGACCAACAATTTCATTCATATAGAGTGAGCATGGCCAAGTATTCGGAGGCTATACATCTATCCCTTGGACATCATCATTGTAGAAAAACATTACTGATAATGATGCATTTATTTTTAGTTTGAGCAAGAACACTCTGCATAAATAATATCAAAACTATGATCATGCAGTATTACATCACAACGGCTATTTGATGGTGTTTGGCAGTAGTTTTCCTGATATTTGGATAAAAAATGATTGCAATATTAACACAATCAGTTTATGTAATATAGGCCATACATACTTGCCTCCATAAGGCTTAAGTTTTAATGATTAATAAATCAATTGAAATACACTTAAATGAATCGCGAAATTAAATTAAATAAATCTGATATTTTTCGAATTTCATTAATTATCAAAGCAAATGCTTTACTAAATCCTTATCTGAGAGTAACATTTAAATCTTTAAAACTAGTCACTAAATTTTCTCAAAAAGTTCTTTATTTACATAGAGGGCATTATGTTTTACGTCTAAGCCAAGATTCTATACAATCTTCATGAAAATAATGTCTGTTATCGCATTTTAGATAGCCAACAATATCTGTTTCTTTGTAATCATTCATGCAAATTGCACAGGTAGAGTTAATTCTTAATCTTTTTTTAATTTTGTTTAATTTTATTCTTTTTATTTGACTCTAAAACTAGATATCCCTCATCATTTCCAAATGTTTTTTTAATCGTTCTTCACGCCTTTGAATATGCCGAATAGAAAAAGCTGCGGTTATGGATAAATGTAACAATTAAATGCAGACTAGAACGAAGAAACCAATAACGGAAATATATACGATTAGTTATGTTATCATCATTAAGATCCACATTGCTCTAAACCCTTCAACTTTTTCTTTGCATTTCATGCTATTTTCAGAGTAATGGAAGGAACTACCATAAAAAATCCATATTAGTTGAA